CGAGCATAGTCTTCGCCCGTGTTCGAGTCCGCGTACGGTGCGCCCGCCGAGCCCGCGTTCCAGCCCGAGTCGGCGTTCGCGTACCCCGTCGACGCCACCGAGATGTTCAACCCCGGCGCCTCCTTCGAGTTCTTATCGTCATTCGACGCTCCCTCCCCGCGCACCGGCCCCTACACGCCCAATATGGACTCGCGGCCGCTCGACGGCGAGGCACCGATGCCGCTCGACATCCACTCCGGTGGGAACATGTGGACGGCGGCGTCGCTGCAGAGCCAGCCGTGGGACCAGACGCCGAGCGCGTGGGCGTGGGGCGCGGGTGCCGGCGTGATGTTCGACGAGCACTTCGAGCTGAGCATGCTCCCGCCTGTCACGCTCGATATTCCCAAGTTCGATCCCGAGCAGCAGAGCAAGTACGACTCCTCTGCCGTAGACCCCTCGATGCTGCACACCCCCTACGCCCAGCACGAGGAGCAGCAGCAGCCGCAGTGGACGCAAGAGAACACGTGGGTGTTCGGGTACGATGCCACGTTCAACCTCGAGCAGGAGAACAACTCTGGCTCATCTGCATGGAAGCCCTCCATGGCGCACGCTCCTTATGTCCAGGGCGACGAGCAGGTGCGAGCTCCGTGGAGCTTTGTAAGGAGTGGCTCTTATTGAGATTCTTTGCGTGAATGTATGGCTTGAGACTGCAGGGATCTTTACTGTAATGAACATAATTGCTATATATATACACTCACATTGGATTGATATTACGCGCGTTACATGAATAGAGTGCGCTTCTACGCTTAGCGTCCATGTGAGAACTGTTCGGGCAATGTGCCCCGGTATTGAGTGCACAAGCGCATGCATCGTCTTTCAGCACTCGACGAATGTGGGCTATCCTTTTGCCCATCGCAGCTGACTTCGTTCTCGGCTGGACCGGCTTTGAACCCAATAGTAATAAACTCGATGATGGACGTCAAGCACCGTTACCGCCCACTGAATACGTCGGAGGCCCTAGCTAGGATAGAAAGCCAGATATGGATGTCACGAGCCATCTCATCTTCAACTCAGTGAATTCGCTCCTGTAGCTCTGGCCAAACGCAGTCGGGCGCCCAGGTGAGCGTCGGGAACAAGTCGCGTCCGATGCGTCGCGACGTAAGTAGCTTGACTTTAACCGCCACCTTCCCGTGCACTCAGGACACACAATCGCTCCATGTATCATACCGCCAGGAACCCTGCTCTACCATGGCAAGGTTGGCCCTGAAATCCCAACCTATCCCGACTGGCTCGCCTTCGACTCTGAACATGGCTACCTCTTCGCGCGTTGGCGCGGCGGGCATATCCTCACCTTTGCGACGACGCGCGAACTACGAATGCTCTACTTCGACGGCTCTAGCGGCACAAAGGTGGAAGACGGGTCGAGCGACACTCAGGAACTCCTGATGTTCGGAGACGTGAAAGGTCGCCGTAAGGAAGATCCTTGGGAGGACGAGGATGAGCGGATAGAGACATTGTGCAGATGGGCGAGGCAGCGAGGTCTGGACGGATTTGTACGGATGGAGATTGATTTGTGAGTAGTGTCCTTTGCTTTTGGTTTGCTCTAGTACTCATCACGCTTTTCCCTAGCGAGGCCATGTATTGTAACATGACAAATGGGCTCAAGCTCATATCTGCAATTGAAGCCATGCCCTACGTGCCCTACAACGACTCGTCCATCTCAGCCACCATCAAATCGCCCAACCGCGGCCCGGGCAGTCCAGGTTGGGACGAGCGTGCCGACCGTCCGTCCAGCTGGCGCAGTTCCCTACCAACCGAAACCGGCAACGACATTCGCGTCGCAGCCAATCGACACGCCCGCACACCGGGAGAGACTCGCGTACATATACTGTACGACAAGATCATCACGTTCTACGATCCCGCTGTTACAAGCCTGCTTGAGTCGCGCCGTGGGAAGCCCCGCCAGGAGCACCGGCTGAAGGGGATATCGAAGGCGGACGCAGACGCGAAGCTACGGGAGCTGGATGGAGTGCTCGGCAATTGGGATTGGAAAGGGAGCAGCATAGACTGGAGGAGTCTCACGCACGTCGTCTTCGAACTATACGCACAACGACTGGAGACGCTCGCGTATACACTCTCCAACGCAACGCACCCCGACGTGCGGACGAGGGCGACGAAGGCTCGCGCTCAGGTGCTGGCCATGCTCGCGCCGCACTCCGCGATCACGAACACGCCACCACTAGACGCGGATACTGCCGATAACGCATGGCTTGCGCCCGTTGTACAGCGTTGCGCCTCGACACATACAGCTGGCATACCGACCGACCTGTTGACGCCACAGGAGGCTCTGAAACTAAAGTCCGTCGAGGTGGTGATGCGAGAGGTTTGCCGCAGGTTAGGAAGGATGCTTCATGCCGCATTCGACGTCGAGAGCGCAGATTGGGAGAAGACGCGACTGAAGGATATAGTGGACTTTCTGCGGGAAGAGGTCGTGGCGTTGATGGAATGGTTAGACTGGACTTCAGAGACTGCTTTGTTGAGGTATGCTATGCGCCCGTAGCTCCACGGGAATATCGCTGACGACGCGCTCTTAAAAGATGTGTGTACTTATGACATGGCTCTACGAGCATTGTCATGAACGAAGCGCGCTGTGATGCTCTCATTCTTTCACGGGGTGGAGACGTGAGAGCTGCGGCGCTTACTGAGCTTTCGCTTCAGCACGCTCAGCATTTGCGCGCGGAATGGCACCCGAATTTGTACGCCCATGGTGTAGTACATGAGCCCGAACTCGAAGAACGGCGCGAAGACTTGAGAGTCTGCCACGCTGTAATGGAAGACGTGTGCAAATGGATCACGAGCCTGTCTTTCAAGCACTCGACCCAGGACTCGGCAGACGCCACACGAACCGCGTTCACACTCACGACAGCATGCTATCCTTCGCAGATCTACAAAGCACGATGGCCGAAGACGCGGAACTCGCGTTCCTCTCAGCAAGCCATCTGAAGAAGGCGGGTGAGAAGGAGAAGGTTCCATATGATTGACACGACTGGGACCTTACAGTATCATTTACACCGTTGGGCGTACTTAATGCATTTTGATGAATCCTCTGTATTTGAATGAAGTCTTCTATATGAGCCTACCTTATTCACCCATAAGAGCGCGCTACCCGACTGTGTACGCGTACATCCAGGTCATTTGGTCCCCAATGATAATAGTCACGAGATCGTGCTCACGTCTTCGCACGCTTGACATCGGCCACGCATTTTGTCTCCAACCGCCACTGTGAACGCCATGATTCTACCCTTTAACACTACCATCCCGACCATGCACTCATATTTGTACTACCACGCGCTTCCAATGCAGCGTAAGACTAAAGGAAGTGTCCTCGCGAACTTTGATTGAACGAAGCGAGTATAATTCCCGCACTTCAGCGCCTATCGGTGCATGAGACTGCATATGGCTTCGTGCTCAAACGTGTGCAGCGCGTGGCTCTGGCCGGGCGCTTCCTTATCGCCTCTTTCCTTATACTGCCATCTAGCCTCATCCTACGCGCAGTAACGCTCTGAACTTCTCTATGTCTACCTCAGCTCAAGAGCCGAGCGGCGGTGCTCAAGATCGGGGCGAAAGCAAGACCTCATCCCGTCTTCGTACGTCCTGGCTTTTACAGTCTACGTGGTGTGCTCATCTGATTGCTTCGACCAGATATTAGCCAGAGAGCTATCGAAAATGCCAAGACTGCTGCGAGTAGCGCCCTTGAGGTCTTGGGTATGGTCGCCGAGGTCACCGAGAACGTTCCTTACCTTGGAGCGATCTCCAAGGCCCTGACCGCCTTTAACGATATTCTTGGGGTGAGCGACCAGCATAATGACGACGAGTGAAGCTCACCGGCACCTACTATACGTAGGACGTTTCGGTGTGCAAAGAAGACTGTACTGCCACCATAGATGAGGCCGAACAGCTCAGGCTCCTTCTACAGAGACATGAAGGGAAGAGGGTTCAGTTTAGCGACGGTGATGATGGCCCGCTCAGGGAGGAGTTCAAAGATCTGAACAGGTGCAGTTCCTTAAACCATGCACAGTTTGGAGCCATGTCGTTAATGATCCCCGACAGTACTCTACTGGACTGTCTTCAGACGTTGCATGGTTATCGCGCCAATTCCAAGCGCCGAAGAGACTGGTTCAGGCTACTCTTCAAACGAGGCGACGTGCAAGCGTCTGTCAAGCGGTGCCGCGATAAGATGCAAACCGCGAAGGACAAGTTCAACGTGCGTAGTCTCTCATGCACCGTATATACCTGCGGTATTCAACTCCTTGCGGCCAGACAACGGTAGGACTTGACACAAACTTCAAGGTCAGCGACATGTACCGACGCTTTAAGTCTGTGAATGTCGCACACGAGCTCGTTGTCGCCACCGGGTATGTTACGTGCCGCCTATATTATCATCCATGCTTACTGTCATCTGTTTTCAGGTCATCATGGCAGCTGCGTGCTGCCAACAACATATTCCACGGTCGTGACTCGGAGGTTAAGGCCGCCATCGACCTGATTGTCAATCGCGCACCCGCTCGTGTGGCCATATTGGGTCCTGGCGGTATCGGAAAGACTTCTATCGCTCTGGCAGTGCTTCATGATCCGAAAGTGAAGAACCTATACGGAGACCATCGCTGCTTCACGTCATGCAAAGCTGCCACTACTGCCGACGCCGTCGTGCGTGCTCTTGCGAAAAATTTGGAACTCAGTATCGAAAAAGATACAGCACCTGAGACCGCTTGCAAGTGCCTTTTCTCGTATCTGCGGACTGCTTCTGGAATTATATGCCTCGATAATTTTGAAACGCCTCTTACCGATGATGATAAGCCTGCGATTGAAGAGCTGTTGAACGAGATCGCAGCACTTGACTCCGTTGCCCTATTGATCACAAGCCGTGATACGAGCAGGCCCACTATCAGATGGACGTCACCTCCCCTTTCGCACATCCAACCCTTGTCCCAGGAAGCTGCTCTCTCCACCTGGGATGACATATGTGGTCTGCACGACGAATACGCAATCAGACTCGTCGATGCGGTGGACTGCATGCCTTTGGCAGTCACCCTCCTTGCGCGCTTGGCTGCTGACGAGGGGAGCGCGAAGAGGACATGGGACCGTTGGGAAAAGGAGCACATCGATTTCGTTCGCATTGGAAGAAAGGAGCATCGCTTGCTTAGTGTCACTGCATCCATAGAGATATCGCTCAGTGCTCTGAGCGACCGGGAGGGGGCCACCAAAGTGCTCTGTATAGTCTGCATGTCTCCAGATGGGTTCCTGAATGATGCGGTTCCCGGACTGCAAGACGTGTTCAGACAGGATCTCTCGTTGCCTGTCAGCCACTACTTGACAGAACTTAGACGGCTCAGTCTGAGCTACACCGTGAGGTATACAACAAGAAACACTGAACCTGAACTTGAATTTCTCGAATATCGCGCCCTCTCACCCATCCGCCACCATATTCTACAGCATTATCTATCAGATGATCTCATCGTGACGGTGGCCAATCTTATAGCACGAAACCCTATGGGGTGGAATGTGGGGGCATTTTGGATATTTTGCCTAAATTACTCGGATTTCTGTCGCGATCGCTGTCTACAGGTGATGGTATCCGCTCCATCTGAGAGCTACGACCCCGACCTACTTTCCCAAGCCCTTGCGTATGAAAAATCTCGTGCACCTCAGCCATGGATGCGATCTGGCATTCTCCGTCAACTAGGGCTGTTAAAGTGCCTTCAAGAGAGATACCAGGATGCTGAGGCGTTATCTTCAGAAGCGATGGAGCTGGACAAGCAGTTTGGACACGGTGTGGGACTCTTTTTGGACTGCGCAGGGTGGCTTTGGAATCGTGCAAGCGAGCTCCGTGGGAAAGAAGCAGAATGTGAGGAGCTGCAAGAGCTGCAAGAAGCTATTTTGCAAGCCTGGAAACTTGGTCGAGAGTCACGAGCATGGGCCTCGTCAGATGTTGAGGCTTTCACGAAGATAGCGAAGGCACAACACGCCGTTAATGAAGGGCGGCGCAAGCTTAATTTGCCCATCATCTATCCAAGCGGTCTCTACTGGGACAACAACTCCATCGAAGAGTTACATGACGCTTACCAGGGGTGGGAAGCGACGGAGTGCTATGAGCGATTGTTGCAGTTGTCCATTCCGCCATGGGATCTGGCTTTGATACTCGAAACGCATCGGGCGTTGGGACACGAACGGCCGGACGCGCAAAAGGTTGGCGATTTCCGCCGCTCGCATGGTCCTCAGACCTGGTACCTCAACAAGGGACCACCCTAGTGCTTGCAAGTCCTCTCAGGCATAGCCTCCTCCGGTTCGAAGTCGCGGCACTGCGCGTTCCCCCATTTCTCAAGTGTTCGGCTCACCTGCTTAGCTGCGTGTATTCGCTCTGGCTGGTGTAGTGCCCTCTGATCCAGTCTCACAGCATGCCTTGGCAAGCCACGACATGGCCGAGCTTGAGCCTTGCAGATAGATTCTCAGCCCTTTCTTCAACGGGCTTGTTCCTTGTTTAACGATCACTCCAGTTTAGTCTTACAACCCTAGCGCGCCAAAGACACCCTTAACAACCTCCTCCTGCTCACGCTTATATACCCTGCCCGTCCCAGGCGCAGGAACAGCATCCTCTTTCCTCCCCCAGAGCCATCCCGCCTAACAACCTCTCTCAACCTCAACGAAACATGCGTCCACGCGCCCTGGTTCTTTGGCTCCTCTTGCACCCACGTTACCGCGCCCTCTTTGCTCAGATCCACGTTCTGATACTTTGATAGTACGGAGGAGAGAGCGGAGAAGGGGAAGGGCGCGAGCTCTTCGAGTCGGATGATTGCAATCTTGGATGCGAGGTCAGCGGGGAGGGAGGCCGCGAGGTCGTAGTAGAGTTTTCCGGAGATGAGAAGAATGCGTTCGGCTGTCTCGTGTGGGGCTCGCGGGTCATCAAGAACGGGCAGGAAGGTCGTGCCAGGCTCCATGTCAACCAGTTTCGAAGCAGCGGCCTGTATGAGTGCGCGATCAGTGACCGTTCAGCGTGTGCGCAGACGGAAGTGGACACACCGGAAGACGAAGGAGGCCCTTGGGACCAGCAACGATGAGTGGGCGGCGGTAGTTGCGCAACATCTGCCGGCGCAAGAGGTGGAAGTACTGCGCGGGGGTCGTCGGGAAGACGACGTGCATATTGATACGAGCGTCCGAGTCGTTCGCCGTGTATCGGTCGTTCGTAAGCTAGAAGACAGCATCAGTTAGTGTGTACATATGTCACTCAAGAAATCGCATACCTGTAAGAAGCGCTCAATGCGCGAGCTCGAGTGTTCCGGCCCTGCACCATCCAGACCGTGGGGGAGCAGCATTACGAGTCCACTCTGCTTCAACCATTTCGCTACAGACAACGTCAGTAACACATGATGGAGGGATACAACGAAGAGACGCACTCTCGGCGCTCGAGATGAACGTGTCGATGATGACCTGTGCGCCGTTGAAGAAGTCGCCGAACTGCGCCTCCCAGATCGGGAGAAGACGCGGCGACTCCCAGCTCATGCCAACCTCAAAGCCGAGGACAGCCATCTCGCTCAGGGAACCTGCGTATCCACGTGTCAGCTCCTTGTACCACGGCTCATTCGCGTAGTAAGGCGCACTATTTGCGAGTTCAAGCTTTCCGGCGTTCTTCTCGCCTTCGAACGAATGGTTGAGCGGGACAACGACACGCTCGGTTTGCTGATGAACAAGCATAGCATGGCGTTGCGAGAAAGTACCGCGACCGACATCTTGACCGGAGATGCGCACGTTGTGGTTGGAGAGCAAGAGTGAACCGAACGCCAGCGCCTATCAGCAAGTAGTCAGCAACCCCATACTCCCACGACGACACGGCGTCGCGTACCTCAGCAGTTGCCCAATCGATACCTTCGCCCTTCTCAATCGCACCGAGGCGTGCCTTGACATGTCGTTGCAGACGGGGATGAATCTCGAACCCGCCGGGAACAGCAACGCTCGCGCGTCCGACTTGTTGCAGTACGTCGCGCGATACACCTGTCTCCGGGTTACGCTGGGCTTCGGCGCTGGGTGGCCAGACAAGCTTGTTCCTGATTCACAAGTGCGTCAGATATGATGGAAAAGTACGAATCAAGAGCAGACCGACCATTCAGGGTTGCCTGGCGCCGGTAGAGTCGGCTTGTACGAGTCCACAGCATCGAGACGCGACTGGAGGTGCGCCTTGTAGCTCGACCTGACATTCGCAGCAGCGTCGGCGGACAGGATCTCATCGCTCTGCAGCATAAGCTGATGTGAGTTTGTCTCAGCATGGTTTGGAGGGTCGGACGTACGACAAGCGCCTCTTCATACAACGTGGGTACGCTCTTGCGCGCACGCACGCGAGAGTACATCGCAGGCTGTGTGAAGGCCGGTTCATCCAGTTCATTATGTCCCCAGCGGCGGTACACCAAAAGGTCGATGATGATGTCCTACGGCGTCCTAGTTAATACATCATGCATAGTAGATGAAGGATAGGATGTACCTTGCGGAAGTGCTGGCGGTACTTAAATGCGATCTCGACCGCGCGCGCAACATCTGTGACACTTCGTCAGCTTGTAATTCAACGTTGACCAGGCATATCCCCGTACCTTCTGGGTAGTCGCCGTTGACGTGCAAGACAGGTGCATTGATCATCTTGCCGATGTCCGAGCTGTAAAGCGAAGAGCGCGCAGAAGCCGCAGGAGTCGTGTAGCCGATGTTGTTGCTACAAGGCATAAGAGTCGTGCCAGGCGCAGAGTGTCCAGGGAAGAACATACTTCACAACGATGTGTACGCTTCCACCACTTGTGTAGTGCGGGAGGTTGCTGAGACCGAGAGACTCCATGACAACTCCTTGACCAGTGAACGACGCGTCGCCGTGAAGTTGGACACAGAGAGCACGGTCGCCCAGTGTGCAGTCCTACGCTAGTTCTTTAGTACCTGGTCCTTCTACTACAAAGGAGTAGAAATACTTCAGGAGATTGGTCGAGTAGAGCGTACTGCTTCGCACGCGTCACGCCCATCGCGACGGGCGACGCAGCCTCAAGATGCGAAGGATTGGGCAGGAGCTGGACTTCCACCTTCGTGCCACTGTAGTCCAAAGTCGGACTGGCCGCTGCGTATCGTCATCGGCATACGCCAAATATAGCTCGCGCAAACGTCTACTCACTCAAGTGGGAGATAACATCACCGGTGGCGCCGAGTTCCTCCGGAACCTCGCTCGCGCCACGAATCTTTGCGAAGAGCGCGGCAGGGTCGAACTTGAGTAGGCCGGTGAGTAGGTTCAGGCGCCCGCGGTGAGGCATCGCTAGCGAGATCGTCTGAATGCCAGCTGCATAAGTATTAGCATAACCTGGTCAGGAAGCCTGTAGACAAGACCCACCGGATGCGGCTTCGGCAAAGAGGGTATCAAGCGCGGGAATCATGCTCTCGCCGCCCTCGAGGCCGTATCGTTTCAAGTTCGGGAACTTCGCCTGTAGGAACTGATCGAACACCTCGCTCTGTGCAACGAGTTCATGCAGCCTCTTCTTGTTTTCCTCACTCGCGCGCCACGAAGCCGGGTCTTGACTCTCGAGAACGTGGCTGAACCAGAGCCGCTCGTTCTTGGAGCTGCAGTGCATGTACTCGTACGCAATGCGGCCGACATAGATGGCCTTGAGGCGGTCGTCGATCTCGGAGAGCGACCATTCTTCCGGCGAGGACTCGCCGACTGGCTTGGTCCAGAGGATGCCGTCGACGTTGAAGGTGGACGTCGGAGTTGAGAGGCCGTAGCGCGCAGGATCAAGGGCTGCAACAGGGTCACGCGCGAGCAGATCAAGCGGGTCGATGCGCGCGGCGCGGTGACCGTGCGTCCGGACCTGTACAAGTGTTTCAGTGCTCGCGCGCTCCTTTGAACGATGATACCAGATGCGTACTGAGTCGACGTAGCGCAGGAGCGTAGCGTTCTCAGCGCGATTGCGCAACTGCGCGGGTGTATAGTCCGGAAGCGTGAAGGTCCGCGGTGCGCGAAAGCCGAAGGAGTCGTCATGATATGCTCGCCGTCCCAGCGGGACTCTGTGGCGAGGAAGGCGCATTGTAGCCTTCGTAGTTGTGATAGGCTCGAGATGAGTCCGGCGACTCCACCCAAACTCCCAGGTCACTTTGAGGGGGAGATGGTGGTAAGACACAGGTTCGTTCCACTGCGGTATTGTATATACATATAGCCGATCCCCGATCGCCGTCAGGGCTCTAGGCGGCGGCGCCGGCAGGTCGCTGAGAACGCTCGGATCAAGCGAACAGGTGACCTTGAGGGTGACTGACACGAATGATCACGACCGTGACCCGGCGCGTCGTGCCCTGGTTCGACCTGGTCCGCCGCACGAGTTTGACCGATACCACGACGTGTTGCGTAACGGCTCTTCGAGTCGTTCTGATATCTTGGATATCTCTTGTGGTGACTTATTCGACGTGATTCCATCGTCGCTTGAGCGCCAAATGGGTTGATTTACACTCTCACGGGTACATGGCAGGCGGGGGTGGTGCCTGCCCTCCGAATGGTCAATGCTCGTCTTCATGATGCATACAGCAATACTGAATAATGGCATGGCATAATGCGGAACCACCTTTACTCTTCTTGGCTACAACTATCTAGGTAAACCAACTCACGTGTCCGCGCATACCGCGTCTCCTCGAGTATAAACTCCTCAAAGAAACGTAGTTCTGGTTCCAGGATAGGCCGCCTCAGCCGCTTTCCAGCTTTGACAGCCGCCGCAACATCAACTCCTGCGCGAAGCAAAGCGGTAACAGCAGTGCTCTTCGGTGATTCGTCGTCGGTTTCCCCAAGGACTTCCTTCCTAATTTTGGAGTCCACAAGCTTGAGCAGAATGGTGCTCTTGTCGGAAGTTGTGGCATTCACGTCGGCACCATGCTCTAAGAGTAGGTCAAATGCGGGTCTCGCATTTACCTCCATCACTTCAGGGTTGCGACGCCTGCGGTCGGTAGCCGAAGCGTACCAGCTATCGATCAGAATCGCCAACGGCTGTTCCCCACTCCGAGTCGCGGCACTGGGCGCGTTAACACTCGCACCGCACTCGAGCAACGTGCGCAATACAGCCACCTGAGATATCTTCGGCCTGAACTCGGTACTTCTGTGGTACCACTGAGGATCGCAGGCTTGTTGGAAGACGGGGTAGTGCTCGTTATTGAGGGGTTCCTCTAAGAGATACGTCACGTTTAGCTGAAGCAGTATCTTCAGAACATCCACTTCGCCTGCGCACGCTGCGGCGTATATTGCACCGTTCATCATTCCTTCCGACAACTGGGAAAGGTCGGCGCTAAGCGCTTTGACCTGTTCGATGAAGCCGTAAAAGGACGCGAGTATAAGAGGGTGAAAGCGGATTCTGCGCGCCAGCCATGAAGGCAGCCGCTGGCTATATCGATCGTGAGAGCAGTCTGGCTCCCATTGGTACATATGTATGCGGGTGAAGTCGCCGTCCGGGGACTCTTCAATTCTGGTGCGGGTACTTCTCCTCCACCTGAGAAAGTGGTCTGCCCATACGCTGAAGGCCGCAGAACCAGGTATCAGGAACCGATCGAGGGACGGATTCAAGCGGCCGACCACGTCGGGATGTGAGGCATATAGCATCCAGAAACGACTGGCGTGTGTAGCGAGGGACGGTCCTGACCGATTCTCGTCGGCATATTCGACCGAGAGCAGGGATGCCATGCATATCTGTGCAAGCGAGAAGCAGGCGACATCCGTGGTCAAACGGTATCTCGCGGGAGCGAGGTCGGATAGCAAGAACTCTTTCACGGACAAATGAGAGAAGCTGACTGAGTTATTCGAGACGATGATAAAACCGGAGCATAGAGCCTGTAGGCTAGCTTCGGCATCGCTGACGCGATGCTCTGAGTTGAGCTGAGGAACACCCGATTCATCATCGAAGTCAATGGCGAAGATCTCGGCGAGCTGCATCGCGGACATGGAGATTTGAGCGTATGTTATGCAAGCTAAGACTCGCAGGATGTCCGCGGTGTATTTCTTGTCTATCGCATCGAGCATCCGACAGTATGTTTCGCCCAGTGTCTCGGGCAGACTGTCGAGTGTCTTCTCGACATGCTTTGGCAGGCATTTGCGTAGACTCTCAAGCTGGAGGGAAACCCAGCGGAACCTGACGTTGCGATTAGACTCGCACTACGATGCGAGGGCTCAAACAACTCACATCCCGTTCGCCTTCTTCTGAAGCGTATCACACGCAAGATTGACAAGCCGTTCCGGCCAGTCCCCGAAATCAAGATCCGATGTCAAGACATGCGTGATGTACGAGCTCATGTCTTCTGCATGTGGTTTCACATCCTGAAGATTCATAGAATGTGTACAGTCGTCCTCGAAACAGCGACGTATGTCGACCTCGGGTCGGCTGGTCAAGAGGACATGAACATGGGGTAGATGCAGGCTCGTCAGCTTCCGCAAGTACGGAAGGACCTCTGTACGACGGGCTTCGAGGGGGCATTCGTCGATTGCATCGACCACGATGTAGATCGGCCCAGGTAAACATCTGGCGAGAGCACGGAGGTGATCGACAAGGGGTGCGAGACTGGGACGTCCATGTTTGCCAAGCAGAGTGTAGAACTCGCGGTGCAGACGCAGACAATCTGATGAAGCGCCGCTTAGTTGATGGACAAGGGAGTACAAGAGACCGTGAGCATCCTGCTTGGCCTCGTCTCTGAAGTCAAAGTAGTAGTATGCGACCATGGCGGATGAAGCGTCTCTCAGCATATCGATGACTGATGAACTGTGCGCGGGCATCAGTAGGCGACATGCACGAGCATGGCAACGCGCACCACAGTACAGTCTTGCCCGAACCAGCTAGTGTTTCTTGAGATTGCGGGTCGAATCATAGGCAAGATGCGAACATACGCTTTCCATGCAGCCAAAAGAAAGAACCATCCCCATCTCGCCATTCCGTGAACGTAGAGCTATTCAGCATCCAGGTACCACTGCCCTCATAGCGGGATGCCACGACACGCCGATGATTCTCAGACGGATCAGGCGGAGATAGCCACTTCTGTATCTCGATATCGAGTTGTAGCAGCTGTGCGTCGGCTAGAAATGATTAGTGGGACGTCTCGTACGCGTAAAGATGAACGACGTACTGAGGGCAGAGAGGCTTGTCTCGATGCGTTCGAGCGTCTCAGAGTGTCCAAGACCGTCTAGACGAGAGAGGAATGGTCAATGCCATCGTAGAATGATGGCAAGAGTGATGCATACCAGTGCGCAAGCTCTGTACTTCAGACAGGATCTGTTGTGCGGTCACAAAGGTGTCATTCACGACCACGCGTGTTTCTGTCGCCGTGAGCGTATCCAGCTTGGCGAGCGCATCTTTCATGTCTTTGTTCCCAGATACAACCTGTACATAATGCACTGTGTAGGTATCAGTTCTCTTCCGGTGCAACTTCAAACCATGATCAGATCCTCACTGAAGCGATTCTTCTTCAACAGCCTCGTGGCGAGAGCGAGAACATGCAAAAGATGCACAAGCACATCAAGCGCGTTCTTCCTTGCGGCGGGGCCGAGCTCGGGTTTGGATTGAAGACGAGAGGAGAGACGGAGTAGGTAGTCTGAGAGCTGCGAGAAGAGTTCTAGCAGAGAGTCATATCGTTCGCTCACGCCCTTAGTCGCCTTCGGAGATATCAATCCGCTGGTCACGATGGCTGTAGTGCTGCATATCAGACGACTTACCGTCAGAAGAACGCCGATTCCGACGAAGATGGCCGATCCTCCTGGAGCACCCTGATTCTGCATCAGCGGAGTCTCAGTATGAAGAGCGATTGAACGAGAGCTTATAATTACAGCCACAGAAGCTACATCCCCGGCTGCGACGTTGAGCGCAAGCACAACGCCCACGACGCGCTCGAGGACGTTGCGCACTTTGTCCCATTTCGAGTCGTCACTGCGGAATGCTTTGAGGTCTTCCATACTCTCCTGCAGAACATCCATGACGTCCTCCGCTGTGGCGCACTCAAGCACGCTGTCTGCGAAGTCCACTCCAAGGAGTTCGCACTTCGTTTCCTTCCGGTACGCTTCAAGAGCGTTCTGCCAGAGCTCATGTATACCATTCTCACTGCTCTCTGAGGGCATGGTGATCCAAGTAGGGGGAAAGTGTATGGGGAAGGGTCAAGATGGAGGTCACAGACAAGTAAATGTGGGAAATCAGTACCGCTTCGGAGCATTTTCGATCGCGCGCTTCATACCGTACGGCCCGACGCGCCGATCGTGACTAGCCGACGCGTCTACTAGTACTAGATCAGACGTTCATCTTGCGTTCACCGGGAACTTACAGGCTTGCAGCAACTACTGGCCGAGAGACATGTTACCACTCAGGATGGCACTACGTGCTACCGACTTCACCCGAGCTGTGGAGGAATAAGACTTTTGATTGTTTGGAGTACAGTGGGTTGAAGGATGGGCGGGGCTTGAGGATAGATAGGAAGCCAGATGCGGCGAGTACAGGACATTGCCAACAAAAATGAATGACCCAAGTAAACGATACGAACTCCGATCGATAAAGAGTGACACTAGGTACCAAAGGAACAAAGATGGACACCAAGGAAACACCATACAACCAATACTTAGGGAACATAAGGGTTAGTCAGAGAGAGAGATTCGGATGGCTTTGGTTTTGGTTTTCGCAGGGCGGGTACGCTTAGTTGATGAGCGTCCAGCTGATGGGGACCTGCGAGCCGTCCGCCTCGGACCTGCCAATGGCGGTCCAGGCGCCGACCGAGAGGTCAAGCGAGTTGGCGTTGCCGCCGCATCCGGGGCAGTTGTCGGCGATGACGGCGTTGATGGAGATGCCGTTGTTGAGGTTGGTGAGGGAGACGGTCTGTCCGCAATAGGACGAGTCGTAGCGCTGCGATTCTGCAAAGGATGTTAGAAAGAGGAGGACGTGAAAGTGAGTGGGGGAGGTGACGCACGGAGAGCGACGATGATCGCGCTGTCGGGGTTGATGTTGCCGCAGGCGCCGTAGCCGCCGTACTGGTAGTAGTAGGTGGCGCTGCACAAGTATCAGTATCATCGCACGACACGAGAGAAGCACGAAGGGCTTACTAGCCGCCAGTCTGAACAGCACCGATGGTGGTCGCGATGGTGGCGCGAGGGAGGACTGCAGCCGAGACAGCCGAAACGACGGCGGCAGCGAGAGCGAGGGTCTTGAACATCTCGAGAGTAGAGGAGGTGGTAGGCCGAGGGGAGGCTGAGAGGTGTAGAGGTGGGTGTGTAAGTGCCGAGAGAGCGCTTGGGTTGTACAGGCCAGCGTGTGGTGGCTTTTATATGCGTTTTGTAGAGAGTAAGCAGGATCAGGTCAATAGAGCTGTTGGTGCGCGAGGTCAGATCATTGAGGTGTGTGGCACGTAGAAATCAACGATCTACCGCATGGTTCTTCGCCGCAGCGCATCGAAGCGTGTGTAGTGCTCAACAGGCACAGATGCAGCGATGACTCAGTGCGTATACTAAGACAGCTGTCCGAACGCCAGCTCGAGTAGCCCGAGGGTTGAATGGGTGTATCCTCGTCATCGTCGTTCCGCCGCGCCGCCTAAGTCCGTACGCCAGGAGTTCTCCAAGTCTTTTCGAGTTCCTTGTGATGTCCGAGGAGAATCAAACGTGCGGCTGAGACGGAGACGAGAGCAGGCTCGAGCAATAGATTCGCGTGGTGTGCTTGATGGCAGAGTTGACGGGCCACCCGACCAACTCAAATCTCGAAGGGGACCCTGGGTGCCGTGAGCCATCCGAGCGATCATAATGCCGAAGATGGGCGACTGTGGCTGTACTCTGGCTCGGATGTTGACCGAGTCCACGCCGGGGAGTGGGATTTCTTGTGTAAGAGCAAGTCGCGGTAGGCGTAGTCGGGTAGCCTATCGGATTGCTACGGTTTTGGGTACTCGGCGGTCCTCGAGACGCCAGCCGTTTCCGCGTATTTCCATGGGCAGTACGTTTGGAAGCCGGCGCCGCCGTGGATACGTTTTACACCGGTAGACGCCGAAAGCGCACATGTAGAACGCGGGAATCTCCCGCTGCGCGGTAAAATGCCATTGAAATACAGCGCGCACGTGTTGGGTAAAGCATGCGCGCTTTAGAGAAGGCATGCACGCTTTGTTGAGTCGCGGGCCTGGGCGTGATGATGGCATTACAGCCAGGCGTGATGTTGAGCGCGCGAGGTTACGGTACCGAGCGTTCCGTTGAAGGACGCGCGCGAGGTGCTGCATTGTGCCAGAGATGAAATCAAGGCATCGTTTGAGCGTTTACGTTGGTCGAAGGACGGCGATGTGCGTTGTCGAAGTCACGCCATCGTCTGTGTACCGTCGACCTGCAAGGTTGTCGACAAAGATGCAGGGCGGTCTCGGAGGGTTGCCGAGTTCTCGAGGAGAGTGGGTTGTGCATCTCCAAGAGGGACCTCGAGCGCAGGGTGGCTGGTGTTGTCATTGATCCTGCCGCTGCGCTTCCACGTGCAACGCGATCCCACACAAGTGGGTATAACGGGGCACACCCTCTTGGATGCAGGATTGCCAGCAAATATTCAATACGATCACAGAAGTTGTAGAGTGTTTGGAGAGGATACGTTTAGCATCTCCGTGTGTAACCTTGCGCGCAGGGTAGACGGTGTTGCCATTGATCTTTGCAGGTGCGCGCCCATGTGCGACGCCCTTGCGACATCCGGATGCCTATCCCGAGTAGTATTCATGAAAAATATAGCAGGTCCCCGCTATCCATCGCAATGTTCCGGTGCGCGTCCGACCCAGGGGAGGTATGTACGCGAGAGCCGTCATCGCCATGTTGGGCGCTTGTTGGGCGCTGAAAGTCGCACGAGTACTCCCAATGAACCAGATGTGCCGATCACACCGGATGTGCCGATCCGCCTCTGTACATCTACTTTTTTCGTATTTCGACCGCGAAAAAAGACTACAAGTGCTTCAACGTATCTCAAGTGCACTGGAATCAAAGAAACAGCATAACTGGACGAACGTGGGAAAACGTAAATCCCATCAATGTCCGGCAATTTGGCCCTGAACAACGCGCCGACGCCCATCCTACCCCTACCTCCCGCTCAAAATATTTGACAGAGCAGAAATAGGTGCATAAAGTAATAAGCTACCATCTGGTGAAAGGAGTAGGGGAGAAGACGCGATACCGAGGAGATAGGACAGTAATGCCGATCGTCGGCAGATCTGGTTCATTGGGAGTACATGGCGCGACGCCGCTGTTGCGCGGACAACGGACCCATGAGTATTGGGAAGGATCATATCTTATTCAATGAGCGAAGCGGGTAGAATGAGCCGTTGAATTCTTGGGAAAGTAGCCCCGCGCGTGGCCGTGGAGGACGAAAACAAGGCGCGGCGCCGACTGGTCCGATGATTGTGTGACTTTGTGACCAACGCGAACCATCACGGTCACTCCAACGCGCGCTTCGCGCGTTCGGTTCTTGTTGACGCGAACCACGACGATGCCGCTGGTGCAGATCGAGGTCTGCGACTTCAAGTCCTACAAGTACGTCCCATATACTCTCCTAAATATAACAATATGCTAATGATGCGTGCAGGGGACGCCAAGTAATAGGCCCCTTCCGCTCCTTCACTTCTATAATCGGACCCAATGGCGCGGGCAAATCCAACCTGATGGACGCAATCTCCTTCGTCCTGGGCGTCAAATCCGCACAACTCCGCTCGGCTCAACTTCGTGATTTGGTCTACCGCGGTCGACGCCTAGCGAACGAGGACGAAGGGACAGGCACGAGTCTGGCGAGTGGCGCGGAGGACGTGGACGCGCACAGCGCTTGGGTCGAAGCGATGTACGAAGACGCGAACAAGAAGCAATATGTCTTCAGACGGACGATATATACCGATGGCGGCAAGAGCGAGTACCAGATCAACCGGAAGACGGTCAGCCTGAACGAATACACCAACGCCCTCCGCGCGCACAACATCCTCGTCAAAGCCAAGAACTTCCTCGTCTTCCAGGGCGACGTCGAGGCCGTCGCGTCGCAGTCGCCCAAAGACCTCACGCGGTTGATCGAGCAGATTGCCGGGAGCCTGGAGCTGGAGAAGGAGTACGAGGACGCGAAGAAGGCGCAGGATAACGCGACGGAGAAGGCTACGGCGCATTTTGCGAAGCGGAGGGGCATCACGGGCGAGGTTAGGGCGTATAAGGAGCAGAAGGGCGAGGCGGACAAGTTCGAGGCGCGCGTGCAGGATAAAGTCGAGGCGACGCTCAGGCTTTTCTTGTACAAGCTCTACCATATCGGGCAGAAGCTCGACACGAGCAGGGAGACAATCGAGGCACGTGCGCCGAAGTTGAAGGACCTGCGGGAGGCCAAGGAGGAGGCGGACGATAAGCTGGCGGATGCGAGGAAGGACCAGGCGACGGCCAGGGCCCAGGTCACGGCAAAGGAGAAGCGCGTCAAGAAGGCGGAGAAGGCGTTGGACAACAAGGTACGGATCCCTATGCTGACCCTTTGGCACATCTATAATATATAAGTAGAAACCGGATGTTGCGGCGCTCGAAGCCCAAATTGCACACAGCAAGCGCAAACGCGACAACGCGTCGAACATCCGCGCCCAAGTCGCAGCAGACGTCGCACGGCACGAAGCTCGCCTCAACTCGCTCAAGCGTGATCTCGAGGAAACAACCGCTCTAGCTGAACAAGCGCAAGGTATCTTGTGTCCCGTTCAATCCCAAATGACGCGTTACTGATTCACCTTATCACAGAGGAAGCGCGCGCAGCGGCTGAGAACACTCTCGCTCTGTCACCAGAGGCCCAGGAGGAGTACCGACACCTCCGCGCAGAAGCGTCCATCCTCGCAGTAGATGAGCGCGCGCAGCTCGAAGGCGCAGAACGAACACTTGCCTCTGCGAAACGCGCCTGGTCCACGTACGTATCCCTCTCCATATTAGTCCGACCCTCCATTCACCGAACTCATCGCTAGGTTGAATGATGCGCGGGAAGAAATGGATCGTCGTCGTGAGCAGAAGTCATCCGAAGAGGCGACTGTAGGCGAGAAGCGACGCGAGCTCGAGGAGAAAGTCCGCGATCTACAGGCTAATGCGCAACGCATCAAGTCGGAGCTTGAGGGTGTACGCTCTGAGCGTGCACGGGTTCAGTAAGTCTACCTCTTCTCCCTTTCCGTCTTGCACGAAGAATATGCTGATTGCTTGTATAGGCAACTCGAGCAGGAGATTGGCGAGAAGCTTAATGAGACGGCGGCCAAACTGCTTCAGGCGGGCGTTGATAGGTCCGAGAGCGAGCGCGAGGCCAAGCTACGCGATACGTTACAGAGCTTGCAAAAGATCTTCCCTGGTATGCATCCATCATTTCGCATGCTCTCTGATCACAAGCTGACCGATGAATGGTCCGGATAGGCGTCCGTGGCAGACTCGTCGACCTCTGTAAACCGACTCAACGGAAGTACGAGACGGCCGTATCCGTCGTTCTGGGCCGGAACATCGACGCGGTCGTTGTAGACGAAGAGAAGACTGCGATTGACTGTATCGAGGTACATCCTTCCTCTCCTCTTCCATCGTCTCCTCTTCCTCATCTCTGCTTGTCGTGCACCTTGCTGACTCGCAACCTACCAACCCTATAGTACATGCGCAACCAACGCGCGGGCATAGCGACGTTCATCCCGCTCGACACGATCACCGTCAAGCCCGTGAACGACAAGTTCCGCGCCTTTGCCAAGGGCGCGAGGTTAGCGGTTGACGTTGTGCAGTACGAGCCTGTCGTGCGTATAAGTGTCTCCCGTACCATCATCGGCCACACTGACGTTTATGTTCATTCAGGTCGAGCGCGCGGTGTGGCACGCATGCGGCTCGGCACTCGTCTGCGATACGATGGACGTGGCGCGATACGTCTGCTACGAGAAAGGACAGGAGGTTAAAGCCGTTACGCTCGAGGGCACCGTCATCCATAAGTCGGGCTTGATCACTGGTGGTCGGTCGGCGAATGAGGGGGGCAGGAAGTGGGACGAGAAGGACGTTGAGGGTACGCATCCTGTTCCAAGGCGGGCGGAGCAGGCGGGCTGACGAGCGTTTGTGTTATAGGTCTCAAGCGCGTGCGGGATAAGCTTTTGAGCGATCTACGCGCGCTGCAGAAGGATAAGCCTCGCGCGGATGACGAGGCTCGTCTATCCGAGCTTTCGCGCTTGGAGAGCGCGTTGCAAGTCGCGCGTGACGACCTCGTATGTCCGCTTTCTTTTAATATTATAGGTCATAGATACTGATTCGCTTGCATAGTCGGCGGTCAAGCTCAAGCTGCAGGGCATCAAGGACGAGCTGAAGAGCATCGACCGCGCGATACGCGAGAACACGCCCAAGCTACGCAAGGTCCGTCTCCTTCTCTTTACTGCTCTTCCTCACCTTGGCTCACATGACTATCCCTCCCACACAGGCCAAGTCCGACCTCGACGCAGCCCAGTCTGCCTATGACGCGCTGGCAGCCGTAGTCAACTCGGCCGAAGACGGCGTATTCGGCGACTTCTGCGCTCGTATCGGCGTAAACCATATCAGGGAGTACGAGGAGCGAACGAGCAGGATCAACCAAGACGAGAGCGCGGCGAGGTTGAAGTTCGATACCCAGATCGCGCGGTTGAAGCATCAGTACGTCATTCTCTGTAAGGTGTACATGAAGGTGGAGAGCGTGAGCTAATGCGGTTGTGCAGAGTACAGTTTGAAGAGGAGCAGCTCGACGCAACCCGCCAGCGCCTCGTCCGGATAGACGAGACCATCGCCACCGAAACTGCCAACCTCACCAAACACGAGTCCGCACTGGCGGCGACCCAAGCAGACCTCGCCACCCTCGCCGCCGCCGTCCAGTCCGCGCAATCTGAACTCGACGACGCCCGCGCAGCGCACGACGAAGCAGGCACTGCCGTAGACGCAGCGAAACGTGCTGCCAGTAAAGCTGCCAAGGCGTTGGATGCGGCGGAAAAGGAAATCGCCGGTTTGAATGACGAGATTGAGCGGTTGGGGATGGAGAGGGGTGCGCTCTACAGGCGGTGTAGGCTCGAGGAGGTTCAGCTACCGTTGATCGAGGGCGACCTGAGTCAGGTGCCGATGGACGAGTCCTTACGCGAGCCGAACGCGAACGGGGATGCCATGGACGTCGATGGCGAGGAGAGTCAAGTCCAGATCCGCGAGGTCGCCGATTACGGACTCGAAGTCGACTTCGACAGCCTGGACGACGAAGATCGTGAAGATCCCAGCGGCGAGCGGCAGGCGGAGCTTGAGAAGGAGATTGAGAAGCTCGGCGGCGAGATCGAGCGGATGGCGCCGAACATGCGTGCGATCGACCGTCTGGACGACGTCCAAGCCAAACTCGTCGAGGCGGACCAAGAGGCGGATAAGGCGAGGAGGGAGAGTAAGGAGGCCAGGGAACGATTCACGGATGTGAAGAGGAGGCGGACGGAGCTGTTCAGTGCGGCGTACGATCATATCAGCGAGAGGATCGATGGGGTGTACAAGGAGCTTACGAAGGGCCGGGCGGCGCCGCATGGTGGTGTTGCATACCTCTCGCTCGAGGATAGCGAGGAGCCGTACGCTGCGGGTGTCAAGTACCATGCCATGCCGCCCATGAAACGCTTCCGCGACATGGAACAGCTGAGTGGAGGGGAGAAGACTATCGCTGCGCTCGCACTACTCTTCGCGATTCACTCGTTCAAGCCTGCGCCGTTCTTCGTGCTGGATGAGGTGGATGCTGCACTGGACAACACGAACGTTGCTCGGATCGCCAACTATATCCGTGCGCATGCGGGTCCGGAGTTCCAGTTCGTGGTCATCAGTTTGAAGGGGAGTTTGTATGAGAGGAGCGAGGGGTTGGTGGGGATTTATAGGGACCAGGAGGTCAATTCGAGTCGGACGGCCACTCTTGACGTACGTTTGTCTTTCTCGGTCTACTGTCCGGATAGTTGTGCTGACGCTTATCTTCACAGCTCACTCAATATAACGAGTAGATGCACTGGCACTGGATAGGCGCCTGTTGGGACGAACGTGGGCTTGGCACGCCGCACGCCGTCGCGCCACAGATGCGATGTTGACTTTTGAACTGCTTTCGGTCTTGCTCTCTCACGCTTCGTACCTGCTGTACTTTCTTTTCCTGGTCCCATCGTCGTATGCCTCTTGTACCTACCATGCACTGTACTGTTACCTATCTTGAACTCTACGGGTACGTACCCGCGGAAAGGTCGGGCCACGGTCCACGGATGACACAAAGCTGTTATGATGTCAAGTTGACACGACTGCGGTCTGCGGATGCGACGGTTCGCTTCTTCCCAGCATCTCCTGCTATTTTCGACTTGTGCACATCCACCATGCGCGCGCCTAACAAACGTACACCCTCTTTGATCTTGACGTCCACCATCTCCGCGCCCTAGAGCTCGCGAATGCTACGGCCCGCGCACCTCGTCGTCCGGCACAAGCTGCCCGTGCTGCTGGTCGCCCTCCTCGCCACCGCCGTCCTCGGCTTCTACTACTACCTCGTCGCCTTTCCATCTCAGTTGGCCGTCTCGGCGTCTAGATATTTCTCGCCCGCCGTGCCGATATCCGATGCGCGAATATTGAACGCGCAGGCGGCGGCATATGCTATGGGCGGCGTGCGGCCCGTATGCCCGTTGCAGGACTGGCACGAAGCCCGCTATGCCCCATTACACAATTCGAAGAATGTGTTCATAGCGGCGAACTTGTACAACTCCCAGGACGTGCTGCCGACGTTCTTCCAGGAGTTGCCGACGGTGATTCAGCATTTGGGCGCGGAGAGAGTGTTCGTCAGTATCTACGAGAGCAACTCGAAGGATCGGACGCCGGAGATGTTGCAGATGCTCGAGGGCGTATTGTTCGCTTTGGGCGTACCACATACTATCGTATACGCGAACGAGGACGAAAGGCCGCCCGGCACACGTATTGAGATTCTCGCAGGCGTGCGCAATCAGGCACTACGGCCATTATACAACGGAGAGGCAGCGCAATTCATGCCGGGCGGCCAATTCGACGAGCTGCTCTTCATGAACGACATCGCCTTCTGCGCGGCAGACATGCTCGAGCTATTACTGGAGAAGCGGGAGCAGGGCGCCAATCAGGCATGCACGGTCGACTACATGGAAGCCGTCATCTATGACCGCTGGGTCCTGCGCGACATACACGGAAACCCGTTCTACCGTTGGGAGGACGTATCATGGTTCTATCGATTCCTACCCGCGCCGTTCCTGGCGCCCTTCTCGCCACCGTTGCCGGATGACCCCGCCGCTGCCAAACGCTTTGGTCAGAACTTGCCCGTGCAGGTGTTCTCATGTTGGAACGGCGCCGTTGCGATGGACGCGGACGTTTTTGCGGCGAAGGAGCCGGAGGGCATTAGGTTTAGGGTCGCTGCTAATTCGGAAGAGGGAGGGCTTGATGGGGCGGGCAAGGAGGTCGTCGCGAGTGATAGAGCGAGCGAATGCTTCCTCGTCAGTGTGGACATGTGGAAGGCCGGGCGAGGAAGGGTCATGATCGTGCCCAAAGCCAGGTATGCCGCCTCGATACTCCGCACGCCGGTGTTCTGGATCGCTGACAGATATCCCAGCGTTTCCTACGACACCAAGCATTACCACACTTACAGGAAAGACTACGTTCGGCCAGCGGATGATGCACCCGGGATAGACTGGGTGTCCGACCCGCCTGCGAAAGTCGCGATGCAGGACTTCGGCTTCTGGAAGGGACCTGAAGTACGTCGCTCGTTACTAGGTTCACGAGATACCTCTGACGCCCTCCAACAGCGCTGGGCACCCTGGGACGAGCAATGATAGACTTCAACAACTCAACCCAAACGTTGTTCTATAGAGAGAGAAGCGTTGTACGATATATCCTATGAGACCGAGCAGAGAGCCACGCCGGCCGGCCGCGGAGGCGAATCCAACCAGCACCATCATTTCTGACTGTTGCATGCATACCTAGCCGCACACGGACTATCCATCCACGGACTTCTTGCTATCTTGTCGTATATTATGTGGATACTCAGACTAATCGTATATCCTGTTGGCTGTGTATTGAAGGCTCGAGGGCGGAATGTACTTAGATAGCATGCTTGCGAGTCTCGCCGCCCTCCGAGGTTAGGCCCGCATTTGTCACTCAAGTGGCCCAGGGGAAGCCAAAGTGCGAGGCTCGAAGCGATGTTGCGCCTCGCTGCAACATCATTCCGAGCCGGCCTCGGGTTGACCTCGGAGATGTTTTCCGTGTCCGAGCCACGCCTTAGCGCGTCTCGCGTAGGCAGCCTCGGGCTCTTCTAGCACGAGCGAAGGCAGCATATACCAAGCGTCGCGTTGAACCTTTCCTACATAAACGGCTCAGAGTGGGACTGAAAGTCCCAAACAATGGGCTCTCGTGGCGAGCTGAGCATAGGAAACTCTGCATCGCCACGGACGCACGCGCTTAGCCTCCCCAATCCAGTACTGATTTCACACGGAGGCTTGCCTTCGGCGTCCACCATCGCGCTTTATCTTCTGACTGCACTACCTCGATCAACATGCCCTCCGACTCTGCCTGTGGCGACATAGGCCAGCTATGGCAGGATGCTCTTGAGGCGTACAGAAAGGAAGCCAAGACCGACCTTCTCGGATGCGATTTCGCGGATGCCGCTGTACAGTGCACAACCGTGCAGGACGTGCTGGACGTGTTGGAGGAGAATATGGACGAGTTCAAGGCTTTTCGTAACGATGACTCCAAGTGGGGGAAAGTGAAGCACGTGCTTCAGCGTTTCGTCGACGTGATCCTCGTACTGAACGACGCAGTTGGAGATGCGGCTGCCGCGGCTGTGCGTTCTAGTCAATACCGCTGTGGCAACGACTGACAGGAAGGCAGGGTGCTCCAGGAGGATCGGCTATATTCGTCGGCATCGGCGTGCTTCTCAATGTACGAATAAGGAGCACAATCATTCTGTACTTGTCTGACTCTCTCACAGGCCACGAAAGGTGTCAGCGATCGCTATGATTCGGTCACGGAACTCTTCTCCCAACTCCAAGATTACTTGACCCGCCTTTCAATCCGAAATGAGGCCAAGACAACTCTAAGTGCTCCAGCGAGGAAGAATGCACTTGACGTCCTAGTACACCTGTTACACGTCCTCGCTCTCGCGACGAAGTTGCTCAAGAAGAGTCGTTTTGGTGAGAATTCTATGATGCTTAGAGCTCTTCCTGTGGCACTCACACGCACAAAGCGCATTATGTTCAGGTTGTCTCCGGCGATAAGGACATGAAGCAAGCGCTTGAAAGGCTGGATAAGCTCACGGCCGTCGAGACCGGCGTAACTATATCCGAGACGTTCGCGGCAACGCAGCATATTCTGGCGGAGGTGAAGAGCCTACGATCAGGTAGGCTTTGCATACGAGCATTGTCGTACTCTTGAGGACTGAAGTACTTGGAAGATGACCAAGTTCAATCCGAAGCACTCGAGCGCATCGAGTCTCAAGTCGTCGACGTCAAAACGCATCTGTCTACTCTTGGTGTGTCATGCTCCTTGAGACCACTGTGCGATAGGCTCATCATGCGCAGTGCATGTACAAGTACAGCGCCAGGATGTCGACGCGTTCAATTGGCTCAACCCTCCGGACCCGTCCGACAACCACCGCCGCCTCGTAGCCTCACGCTGCGAGGATACGGGCACGTGGATCCTGCGCAGCTCAGTCTTTGTAGCTTGGAAAGATGGTGGTGGCCCGTTTCTCTGGCTTTACGGAAAGGGTATGTTCGTCCTGTCATGCAACGAGTGGGGTGCTTACATGCCGCTACCAGCTGGATGTGGAAAGAGTGTACTCTGGTGTGTTGTGTAACATTCACAACTTTGCTCTTCCGACTGACGCTTGTTGACAGTTCCTCGATCGTCGACTTCCTGACGATAACCTGTCCGACCTTTGTTGCTTACTACTACTTTGACTTTCAAGATGCGGTCAAACAGAATGCGGATGGTCTACTACGATCTCTTGTGCATCAACTCAGCGGTGTCTCGCCCGTGTGTTTGCATCTACATCGGGAATTCTATGCACGCTACAGCAGCACAGGGAGGCCCAACCCTGCAGCTCTTATGGATCATCTCCTGAAGCTTCTCAGTGCAATCGAGATACCCGTATACCTTATCATCGATGCCATAGATGAATGCCCGGTTGAGGTTCGCCGTGTAGAGCTTCTTCCGCGCCTAGTTGAACTAGCAAACTCTGGCTTCAAGCATGTCCATGTTCTGTTTACGAGCCGTCCCGAGGTCGACATCGGCAATACCTTTGCACTTTCACATGCTCTGGAAATGAACTTGCAAGTGTATGACACGCATACGCGCGATATGAGCGCATACGTATCTCGCGTGCTGGGATCGGACCCGGACTTTAGCCACTGGCCTGATCGATTGATCGAGCTTACCCGTGTTACGCTAGCAGCCAAGGCGGATGGAATGTAAGCCCTCCCTGTTCATGTGTTTGGGAATAGAGTGCTGAGTGCCCTTCTAGGTTTCGATGGGTCTCCCTCCAGCTCGAAACGTTACGCAACTGTCTGCCCAAATATGTCGAGAAGACACTGAGCGACTTGCCCAAGAGCCTGGGCGACACCTATGTGCGCATTCTGGACTCTATAGATAAGAACGTCGTACCCGATGTTCTGCGTATACTGAGCTGCATTGCCTCGTCCACGGTACCCCTCACATTATACGAGCTCGCCGATGTCTTTGCGATCGACTTCGTCGACGGTGACGGTATCCCAAGTATTGCGGTTGGAAATCGGGTGCGCGACCCACTACCCGTCGTCTTGAATCTCTGCAAGGGTCTTATTATTGACGGGGGTTTCTGTCGTATCAACTTTGCCCATATGTCGGTGAAAGAGTTTCTATTCTCCGATCAAGCGCCCGAACAGTACCGCCTGGATCCAGCTGCTATCGATGACACGCTAGCTCAGATGTTCATGGCATGCCTTCTATCGCCCGACTGCCTGGATTACTCCCAATCCCAGCTTTCTTTGTATGCAAAGGCCGTGTGGATGCTCCCTGCATCGCGCCCTCGTGTTTCGCGCCATTTAAGGCTGGCACTGACTGCGTTCCTGCAGCCGGGATCAGAGGCATTTTCCCGCTGGTCCTATCTGGGATCGTCATCACATCTAAGCTATGAAGAACTTTGGGCACCGCACTACTACCTTCGGCGTCTGGTCAGAGAGCATCCTCTCATATGCGCGGCTTTCTTTGGGTTCCAAGACCAGTTGGATGCGATACTATTGAATTCGGAAGCGATCACCGAGGATTGTGCTCACAAGTCTTTACATGTCGCAATAGTGGCTGGCCTTCCCAAGATCATGTCCGCGATTCTGGAGTCTGGTATCGTCTCTGATGTAAATGCGGTCCTTCCATTTCCGCATGGGCGCAAGGGGCCCTCAACTCATTTGCATGTTGCATGCAGCCTGTATTCGTATCTGAGATTCACCGAACAGAATCGCACGCAGTCTGATGAGTACGAATCCGATTTCTCGCAGGTGTCCATCATACACCTGTTACTAGAGCATGGTGCGTTGATCGACCCATCAAAAGCGGCGTCATCGACAGCCCTCCTGAAGACCATGGTTTACACTTGGTCTCCGCGAAGATCTTACGAGGGCGTTACAACCTACCCACATTTCACCGAGGAGATCTCGCTTCCTGCTCTCACGTTACTCCTCGATCATGGGATCAACGTGAACACCATGCTTTGGGATGGAGTCACTGCACTACATACGGCTGCAACTAAAGGTGACAGGGCTTGCGCGATCGTGAGAATGCTACTGGAACGTGGTGCTACGGTCGATCTGGTTCGACTCTCCGATGGCTTTACAGTTCTGCATTGCGCTACGAAAGCAAGATCGATTGAGACAGTAACTACGTTGCTTGAGCACGGAGCACCCGTACATGCGATTGACAACGAGGGACTCACAGCCTTGCACCATGCGGTGCGCAATGGTGATGCTGAGATCACATCCCTGCTCCTCAAACACGGAGCATCCGTAGATGCGCGAACTGGTATCAATATCAAGTCAGACTACACAATCTTGAA